TAAGATCCCATTCTAAGGTAGTGGGGATTAGGACATCAAAATCTACTGGAGGGACACAACTCAACCCACAACATGAAGTGACTCACCCCACGTCACCAGACAGGCAGTCAGTACCCCAGGTCTGAGCTCTGAATCATAGCCTCAACGGCCCCTCATCCCGAGAAGACCCACACTGTGGCCTCTCCTCACTCCTCAGTGCCTGGGAATCTGGCTTGTGGCCACTTTTGTCCCTTGCAGGCCACTTCTGGTCCCCGGAGCTGGCATAGCTGTGGGTCCCACTAGCCTGTCCAAAGACACTGTCGCCAAAGGTGGCCTGCCCAGCTGTTGGCTGAGTGTCCTTCCCATTGCCCTTCTGCCCACTCCCCTGGCAGGGCTCAGGAGGTCAGCGTGGTCTGGGATGGAGGGAGAGGTGAGCACTTCACGGCAGGAGGGTCCTGAAGGAGGAGGACGTGGAAGGTCCTCCCCCAGAGAACAAGGGTACAGACCTAGGGCAGCAAATGCCCAGGGCTCTCCTTCCCATTTCCAGAGGCCCAGGATCCACTCCCCACCCCCTGCCCCATCGTCCTCCTCAGAACACAGAAGAAGGCTCTGTGCCGGGGGGAGGCTGCAGGGCTGACATGAACCTGCTGGAGTTTTCCAGAGATAACAAAAAAGCCCCAGGTTCTTTCCCGTCCCTCTTCTTGAAGTGGGAGGCTGGGGCTGGGGTTTTGCCGGCCCCTGCAGGAGGGGTCCAGATGGGGCAGCTGTGAGCATGGGGGGCAGGGCAGAGGAACCAGGGGCTGCGGACACCACTAACTGCCCTCTGGATAGTCATCCTGCCCTTGCCACCCCCAAAAACAGGACAGCAAGGAGGAAAGGACACAGGAAGAGCAGAAGACAGAAGACCCCGGCTCCGCTGGGTCCCAGGATCACTAACCCTGAGAAGTGCTGGTACCAGCTCTGGAATTGGAAGAGGGTTGCTGAGCAAATGTGGTGTATCAGGCTCTGTTCTAGGCACTGGGGACACCACGGGGACGAGACACAAAGCCCTGCTCCCTGGCAGCAGCCAGACGACAAGTAACCAAGCTCACAATGGCCAACGGCTCTAACCAGATTGTTGGGGAATCACGATTCATCAGGAAATAGATTTGAAATTATTTCATTTCTCCAGGCACTGCCTGGACTGTGCTGGGTGGAGGCTGCTTCCCCGCGGCAAGGGGCAGCTCCCTGCCCCAAAATCTGGCCAGATTCACGGCCTTCTTCACCTGCCGGGTTTGCATCTCCTCTTCCTGGGCGGTGTCCAGTGAAACTCCCGCTTCTCAGTTTCTCCCCTGATGCAAAACTCTTCTCGCCTCCCTGCGTTCAGGCGGAGCTTCAGAAGCTCTGCGGGGGTGGCGGGTGGGCCGAGGGCTCCCCTCACCCTCAGTTCCCCACTGTTGGGTAGGGAGAGAGAAAGGGGAGCCTGCTCCCCATGCACCTGGGCCAGGGAGCCCCAAAACAACAACATCTTTTCGATGAACAGCACCAGGGGTCTGACTTCGCCCCCAATGGATCCATCACTTGGGGAACCCCTCTGGGCACCAGGGCCCATACTCAGCAAGGCCCCATACTTGGCTTGAGGTGCTGCTGCCAGGGTCTTGAAACTCATAATAGTTGTTGAACACAGTGCCCTGTGTTTTCATTTGGCTCTGGGACCCCTGCAAAGCCCGTAGCCAGTCCCGCCCGCCTGGCATGTGTTAGAGCTGTGTGACAGCTGCATCCCTGCTGCACCCCACTTGGCCCTGAATGCTGCAACAGCCCCCCAAATCCTGAAGCCCCAGACTCATCCACACTCGGGCCCACTATCCGGCCTGCAGGCACACGTGGCATTGCCCTCAGCAAATTCCGAGGGACCATGAGCCTCAGAGTGGGGGTCCCAGCCTCTCCTCGTTCAGCAGCCCCCACCCTGGCGTCCCTTTGGCTGTCCCCAGCAGGTCAGCAAGACCTCTGGCTAAGCCATGCCCCAGTGGGACACAGAAATGTCAGCCTCCTCCCCCTGCCGGGTCCCTTGATTCCCGGGCAAGAGATTCCTCCCTCCCTCCGGGGACCCTGACTCTCCTTCCAGCTTTGCCACAGAAGTGAGGCAAGATGCTTTCCCCAGTTACTCTGTGCTGCCCCCAAGCTGCCCACGCACCCCGCCCCAGTCCGGCCTTTTCTCTTCTCCACGGGAGGGAGGGCCTGTGGGGAGGACGTGGGCCCAGCAGTGAGCTCCGCGGTGGGAAGAAGGCTCGTGGGGACTGCCCCTCAACCAGCCTGTGGTGGCCTGAGTCCCTTGGAACCTGCAAGACCCCACCACACAGCCCGCACAGAGAAGCGACTGGTCTGAAGAAGATGCTAGAGAGGATGTGGCAGAGAGGAGGAGGAGCAGCTGGGAGGGTGGCCGTCCCAGTGGAAGGGGCCACCGTGGGGCCCGAGTAGCGGTCACCAACAATATACAGAAGGGTTGCACAAAACATGGATTTACACCCGGTTCTCAAGGGGTGACCTGAGGAAGTGGATGAAGCTGACCAGACTTGGGGTGGGGGCTCCGGCTGGCCCTGGGCACGGGAGGTGGCAGGGGGCGGGGTGGGCTTGAGTGGCTCACCATCCGCTGTAAGGCCCCTGATTTTCCTTGGCAGGGGTAGGGTTCTCACCCTGAGGTGAGCTGGGGCAGTAGACAGACCAGCAGCTCTGGGTCTTTTCCCTCCTCCCACCACATGCCTTGGAGGGACGCATGCAGGCAGAAGGCAGAGGGAAGGCAGCTCAGAGGCTCTGGCCTGGTCTGCCTGGCTCTGGCAGGATCCAAGCAGCTGAGGGACGGAGGTGTCCAGGGTCGGCGGCGGGGAGAGGGCCACAGGGGGCCTCCGTCTTGAGGGGCTCCCTCCAGGCCTTAATCCCTTCGGCGTAGATGCCAGCTCCAAGGACGGCCTGCAGCGTTGGCCTGGGAGGCTTTCCACCCACCTTCTCCGCTTTCTGGGTCCCCTACCTTGCTGGCTCTTTCTTGGAACCACAAATAATTTCCTTGGGACGCTTTGTCAAACCTCTGTTTATGCTTCAAGTACAGGCCGTGGGGCGTGAACACCCTCTCTGCCAAGAAGCTATACCCTATCTAGATATACATCCTATCTAGAGGGATAGATATTCTGACAAATACAAGTAATTTTCGGCTTCACAACAGTCACAATAACCCACACTCAGACACTATTCCATGGCATTCCATGGTATTCTGGAACCAGAGGTGTTATCTTCATGAGGGGCGGTGGTAACCAGGGAGGCGAAAGGGAGCATATATAGTGGTGTGCTGGGGGATGTTGGGTCTCGGTGGGCAGAAGGCAGGGGGGATCCAATTTATAGCACGTGTTGATTTCCAGGGCATAAATACTCCCATTGTGGCTGCTGTCAAACTACCAATGTGAGTTCACCCAGGACAGACTTGGGAAGAGATGCCAATCTTCAGCTCTCAGGAGCTAGGATGATCTGACACCAGCACACCACTGGGTGGGGGGGCGCCCTCCAGTGGAATTCCAGGAGTTCCAGAAATCTCTCGGTGGCCAGTGGCCAGAGAACCAGAATGATGAAGAGAGAATGAAGAGTGGGGGGAGAGCATTTCAGGGAGGAACAAGAGGTTGGCCACACTCTCTGTTGCTCAGTGGCACAGAAGGAGGAGGCTGGAGATGCTGCTGGATTTGGCTGCCCCCTACCTCCCGCTCCCTACCACTTACCCATCACCCCTAAGGCCCCTGGCTCAAGGCTGTCTCTGCAGGCCTGGGGCTCTGTCTTACGAAGGGGGTCAGGGTCACCTCCTCAGAGGCTCGTCCACCTGCGCAGAAGGAGAAGGACTGGAGAAGAAAGGACAATATGCTATGGGGCCGATGTCATGACAGAATGTGCTCTGGGAAGGCACCAGGCCTGCCAGAGCCACCCTGGGTCACCAGGATGAATTGGGGTGCCAAGATTCTCTTTTTTTGGCCCCAGGACATTCTGTGGGGCAGAAGAGCACCTCCTCTCTGCCCCAGGTGGGAGCTTGCTCCCAGGAGAGCGGCTCATTTGTGGCCCTTCCCGTGAGACTCCAGAAGATTCCCTCCTGCCAGATTAGGGTCATAGCAACTGAGAACAATGCTGGACAGGCCGAGCGAGTACTGCGTAGGGGCAGGGGGTCTGGGAGAGCGTCAGAAGCTGCTGGGGCCTGGCCGACCCAAACTGGGCCACTGGTGGGGCCTTTCATGTCCGCTTTCCTCTCAGGGCCTGCCTTTGCCTCTTCCAACCCCACTACCCTCAGTGCGGCAATTAGGGCGCTAATTAGGGCTCTTTGATCATCTTTAGAAATGGCTACATGGGGGAGAGACGCTGCCAAGCAATTAGGGGCAGAGGGGCTGGGAGCTCGGGCACCTCTTCAAGGGGTGGGGCTGCCAAGGACCCTCAGACACCACCTTCCCTCCTCCCTCCAGGAGGGTATGTCCCCAGCGTGGCCATAAACTCCTCAGGGAGTAGAGGCAGATGGGAACCCCCGCCCCCCGTTTGAGCCCTGGAGACGGAGCCAGCCCCTATCCACCGGCCCCCCTCCGGCTGGCCCCCAGCCCAACCGTCAGCTCTTCTGGCCTGTCCAGCCCCCTTTGATGGAGCCGCAGGAACAAGGGCTCCTTTGACAGAAGGGGGGCCTCAGAGCCGGGACTGTGAAACTTCAAAGGTGAGGGTCGAGCCCACTACCCCGATCCCTCCCCCGACCCTGGCCCCCCTCCCAAGTACCCCCCCAGTCTGTCCTCTATATAGCCCCCCAAACCCCAGTCCCCTGTGGGCTCCCGGGAGTTAAGGGCCAGGTGAGGGGCCGCCGGAGGGAAGTGGGTGATTTTGATGTCCAAGGAGAGTCAGGTGACTTGGGGGACAAGAATCCAACACCCAGGGGCCAAAAGGCAGTGGGAGGCAGACAAGGAAGGATAAACACCTGGAGGGTGGACCCCAAGAGGGAAAGAGGGTAGGGTCGCTTGGCCCGGCTCCCGGTCACCATGCTGCTGCTCGTGCTGCTGCTGCTGCTGCTGCCCCTCCCAGACCCATGGGCTGTCCGTGGGCACCCACTCTACATGCGCCTGCCCCCCAACATCCTGCAAGGTGAGCCTGGGTTAGACTGAGGGGGCGGCCGAGGTGAGAGGAACACAGAGGAATTGGGTCCGGGCCAGGGGAGCCTGACCTTGCCACCCCCACTCATCTGGACCTTTGGCCCCTTCCACCCACCCCTCGAGGAGAAGGGACCAGGAACTGAGGCACAGGTGGGCAAGGAAGGGGGAGAACAAGGGTGCAGAAGAAGGGGACCTGGCAGCAACCACCAGAGTGGGGAGCTTCGGGGAAGGTTCTGGGTTTAGCAGGAGGAAGAGTCCCGGGTGGCATCTCCTTGGCTTTCTGGGCCCGCAGTTGGGCTGCTTGACCCCGATACTTTGTTAAGAAGCCCGGATTTTGTGATGTCTCTACCTCTGGGGTGCTGTTTTTCCTTCAAGGTTTTTAAGGAAAGTCCCTTTTCAAAGATTCCAGCCCAGCTCAGTTGAATCACAGAGAACCCTTGGGTTGAGAATCTGGGGCCATCTGCTCTGAGCGCTGGGCCCTGGGACCCTGGGACTCTCTCTCCTCCCCATTCTGCCGAGGTGCTCCCGGAGCCCCACCCGCTGCCCTCCCGTCTCCCCAGGCAGGCTCAGGGCTGGAGCCTGAGGTTCTTCCCCAGCCGCAGGTGAATTGTGCTCCATGTCCCAGCAGCTCTGTCAGCCCACGGCACGAGAGCACTGCAGGCCGCCCAGAGGAACGCCCAGTGGACAGTTAATCAAGTGGCGATGGAGATTCGACACAGACTGCATGAGTGTGGCAGCTGTGCCAACCATACCATCCCGTGCCCGGGTGAGCTTGCCCTGACTACCCTGGGCCCGACCTCCTGTCCATCCCATCCCTTCCCTCCTGGGGACAGAGACTAGGTGGGGCTGCCACCGAGACATTGATGATGAAGGTCTTGCCAAGAAGAAAGGGAACGCCAGGCCTGGGACATAGTCCGTGCAAAGGCAGGAGGACAGGAAGAGTCTGGGCTCATTGGGTGGACAGTGAGAAGTTCATGGTGAAATAGACCCTGGTTGCTGGGGGTGGACTAACAGAGGGGAGCGGTAGGGCAGAGAGAGGGCCCAGGCTCGGCCTGGGGTGCAGGAGGGTTGGGAGGCCAGCCATGAGGCTCAGAGGTCTGTGTCTCAGCAGGCGCTGGGCGTCCCAGGCCTCTGTCCCCCCTCCTCCAGGATCCAGCAGAGCCAGGTAGGGCTGAAAGGGCTCTAGGGGGCAGGGCCAAGGGCGGGATGTACCCTGGAAGGGCCTCGAGGGTGAGGGGGTCAGGACTTGTCCCCTGTGACGCCCATGCCACCTTTCTAGGGCCCTGTGGCGAGAGGCGCCCAAGCGCTGTCAACGTGACACGGGCCCACGGCCGCATTGTTGGGGGCAGTGCTGCTCCGCCCGGAGCCTGGCCCTGGCTGGTGAGGCTGCAGCTCGGAGGGCAGCCTCTGTGTGGCGGCGTCCTGGTGGCGGCGTCCTGGGTGCTCACCGCGGCGCACTGCTTCGCGGGGTACGTTGGACCCCAGGCCCTTGACCAGCCCACACCCCCAGTGCGCGGTGGTCGTCTGGCGGGCGACACAGGCGAGGGCCGGTCTCTGCTGCCCCCTGGCGGCGGTCACCGCCTTGCCCTGCTCCCGGCCTCAAGGCGCCCTCTCCGCCCAGCCTGGGTGAGGATTATCTGGGAACGTCCGGCTGGGCTAGGCTCCTGGATTTACTGGGGGTCCTGCCTCTCCGCCGCCCACCTTCCCTGCCCGGCGAGAAGGAGCGGAGACACAGAGATCCCGGCGTGCGGGCCTGCTGAGTGGTGCCCGTGGGTGGAGGGCAGGGTCTCAGGGGACTCGCCCCTTGTCCCGCAGTGCCCAGAACGAGCTTCTGTGGACAGTGACGCTAGCCGAGGGGCCCCAGGGGGAGCAAGCAGAGGAGGTGCCGGTGAACCGCATCTTGCCGCACCCCAAGGTGAGAGGGCAGACCCCAGGCTCTCAGAGTGGGGAACAGCACCCCCACCCCACACTTCATCACTATTGCGCGGCCACTCCCTCCGCAGTTTGACCCGCGGACCTTCCACAACGACCTGGCCCTGGTGCAGCTGTGGACGCCCGTGAGCCCGGCCGGGGCGTGGCGCCCTGTGTGCCTGCCCCAGGGGCCCCGGGAACCCCCAGCCGGCACCCCTTGCGCTATCGCGGGCTGGGGGGCCCTCTTCGAAGGTATGGGGCTGCTTCCAGTGTGAGTGCGAAGAATGGGGGGTTAGGGTGATGGAGTTGGGGAAGGCCGGGTGTAGGGAATCTGACCCCCCCCCCATCACCTTTGCGAAATACTGTCTGATCTTGCAAAGGGGGAGGAATCAAGGAGGGTAGTGGGAGGAGGGACCTGCTAGCAAGGCCCCTGCCCTCCAGGCCTGAGCTCCCTCCACCCATTCCCTGTAGATGGGCCTGAGGCGGAGGCGGTGAGAGAGGCAAGAGTGCCCCTGCTCAGCACTGACACCTGCAAAAGGGCCCTGGGGCCCGAGCTGCACCCCAGCAGCATGCTATGTGCTGGCTACCTGGCCGGGGGCGTGGACTCCTGCCAGGTAGGAGCCCTGATTGATGTTAGGGTGCTGAGCAGGCTGCTCCCCAGGGACAGGACGGCTTCTTTCCTTCCGCAGTCGGTTGTCATTCAACTTGTCTGAGCTTTCATGTCCCCACCACTAAAAGGGGGTACAAGGGTAGAATCCCTAGAACTCAGAGCTGCCCCACCCTGCCAAGTGTCAGGCTGGCAGAGGAGAGGGGCAGGTCGATGAAGTACTCTCTCTTTTGGCTTGGGTCCCGCAGGGTGACTCTGGAGGCCCCCTGACCTGTTCTGAGCCTGGGTCCCACCCCAGGGAGGTCCTGTATGGAGTCACCTCCTGGGGAGATGGATGCGGAGAGCCAGGGAAGCCTGGGGTCTACACTCGTGTGGCCGTGTTCAAAGACTGGCTCCAGGAACAGATGAGTGGTGAGTGCCCCGTTCCTATTCACCTCTCCCCGAGGTGCCCTGCTCACAGCCCTTGGGACAAGCCCCTCTACATCCCACCGGCCCCCAGCCCCTTACTGCGTGGGGAAAGCCTGTCCTCCCTTCGGGGAAGAGCTGCAAGGGCTAAGGTCCAAAGCCGGGGCTGAATTGGCCGCCGCTACCCCCATCCCCACCCCCCACAGCAACCCCCTCCAGCCGGGAGCCCAGTTGCAGGGAGCTGCTGGCCTGGGAGCCGCCCGGTGAACCGCCGGCAGACGCCGCCCTGCCCTGCGCCTTCTACGCCCGCCTGTGCCCTGGGCCCGCGGCCGCCTGCGCGCGTCTGGCGCACCAGCAGTGCCTGCAGCGCCGAAGGCGATGCGGTGAGTCCAGTTCCCAGGGCTGGGCCGGCGGACAGGGGGCCTGACCCAGCTGTGACCGCCTCTCGGACCCTTGTCCGCCCGCAGAGCTGCGCTCGCTGGCACACACCCTGCTGGGCCTGCTGCGGGGCGCTCAGGAACTGCTTGGCCCGAGCCCAGGGATGCGGCGCCTGGCCCCCACCCTGGCTCGCCCGGCTCTGTCGCTCCTGGAGCCTCGAAGACACCCCGCCCGCGAGCAGCGGCTGCACCCAGGTACCCCGCGCCTTCACACTCCAGCCCCAGCACCCCCCGCCATCAACTGCGCGGAGGAGGCGATCCCCTAACGCTGCGTCTCCCCAGGATCGCGGGCTGCGGGCGCTCGGTTCCCGAAGCGGAGGCCAGAGCAGCGCGTGGAAGCGAACGGTAATGACGCCCCCTGCGGGCGTTTGCCGGGAGAGTAGCAGGCCAAGGGCTGGCGAGGGGATTCGTGGGCCGACTGGCTGTCCCCGCCTGAGCCCCCGCCCCCCTCCCCGCAGTAGGGAGGATGACTCTTTGGGGGTTCAGTTCAGCAGAGACCATCTGCTTTTGTTATCACTTAACCTCTCTGATACTCAGTTTCCCATCTGTAGCACGAGGAGAAATCTGCCCCCTGGGAGGCGGTCCACTGAGGTCCTTGTGGGAATCCCACCCTGGCTCCTTTCCAGTGCGTTTACTGCTGTACCCAGGACCTCTCCCCTTCATGCAGGTTGCCCTGGGCTGGAGAGTCTGCAACAGAAGTTGACCACCCTTCAAGGCACCCATGCCTGGATCCTGCAGGTCCCAGCAGAGCACTTGGCCATGGACTTCCACGAGGTAGGTCGTCAGTCTTCCCACATTCACTCAAAGTGGCCTCAGAAGGCTGACCTGGATCAGGCCTGATGAGTAGGGGGACAGAAGGGGCACCCTCCACAGCAGAAGGGAGGACCTGCTCCCCAGCAATTTGGGGTGGAGGCAGGGGGGTGTCTTGGGAGAAAGGGGCAGGGAGGGCATCTGCGTGTAAGCTGGGGTGCTGGGTGGATGTGAAGGTGTGGGAGTAGAAGGGCACGTGGGGGTGTCCAAGTGAGCAGAAAGTGTGCAGGATTGTGAGAGTATGGGGGAGAGTGGATCTGGGTGAGAGTTTCTGGGGGCCCGGAGGAGGCAGACCAAGAGCTGGGTTGTGGGACCCTGAGCTCCCTCCTCCTTCTTCAGGTCCTGGCCGATCTGGGCTCCAAGACACTGACCGGCCTCTTCCGAGCTTGGGTGCGGGCAGGCTTGGGGGGCCAACACGTGGTCTTCGGGGGCCTGGTAGGCCTGGAGCCGGCCACGATGGCTCGCAGCCTCCCCCGCTTGCTGGTGCAGGCCCTGCAGGCCTTCCGTTTGGCCGCACTGGGAGAGGCAGAGGGACCCCGGATGGGTGCAAGGCAGAGCCAGGGGCTGGGGAGGAAGGGGCACCCCCCACTCAGTCCTCAGAATTCCCCAGCCAGGGGGCCATGAACCAACCCCTGGTCAAGACCTACCCCTCCAGGGGGCTCCTGTGATAACAATATGTCCCAGCCACAGTTGATTGGGTGTGGGGGGCGAGGGGCCTGGGTCCATGTGTCTTCCCAGATATGTCATCAGAAAATCCCGGCTGCTTTAATAAACGTTATTTATGATCTACAGTGATAACTCTTGAGCTTTCTTGGGATGAGAACTGGGTGGGTGAACATTAGGGCCAAGGAGGACCCAGCCTTCAGTAGCAGTTGGCAGAGGTCACAAAGACACTGGAGAGAGGCAGCTAAGTCCCCATTTCCGCATGCATGTCTGCTCCTCAAGAAATGGCAACAGCTGACCTGTCACCACTCCCCTCCCTGTGGATGGCCAGAGCTGCCCCCAGAATCCAGTGCCTCTACCCAGCCCCCACCCCTACTGCTAGTAGTGGGAAGTTCCAGCCTCCTGTCCTTGGACTCCTGCCTGGCGGCCAGTCCCCATCCCCACCCCCTCGGCACCTGCCTTGGGTTTTATACCCGGAGCCATGCCCAGACGTGTCAGATTGCATTTCCGGGCTGCCACTTCCCTTTGCACATGACCCCCCCTCCCCACACCTGTCCCCTCTCCTACCCACCCACATTCCCCAGCCCTGTAGACAGAAGGGGCAGCCACGGGACCCAGTCAGAGGGACAGGATGGAGGGACCCGGGTTGACGCTGGGGCTGCTGGCTATACTGGTTGTTTGTGGTAAGAGCAGACATCACCCCGTCCTGAAGGGCCCTCAGGACTCACACCAGGGCCCCTACTGCATGGTCCCCTCCTACCCTACCTACCTGATTCTCCCTCCCTTAGCATCGGGCCCAACCTCCCACCCCCACTGCTATTTCTCCTGGAGGGGCAGGCGGGGTGGGATCCCCCTGCTGAGCCCAGCCCCATGGCCCAGCAGGATTTCAGGGCAGCTCCCTTCCTGTCCACCCCTGCCCTGCACCCCACCCATCCCCAGGTAGCTGGGGCCTGAACGAGGAGGAGCGGCTAATTCGGCACCTGTTCGAAGAGAAAGGCTACAACAAGGAGCTCCGGCCGGCACACCAGGGAGAGAGTGTAAAGGTCTCTTTGGCCCTCACACTCTCCAACCTCATCTCCCTGGTGAGACCCCCTCTGTGGCTGGGCTGGGGACGGGAGGGCAGGGACAGCTCTTGGGAGGCCTGCCTGTCTCCCGGACTGGGATGACCAGGAAGGAAGTTCAAGGCCCCAGCCTGGACTATGGTAGCTCCTGTCCCAGGGAAGCAGGCTCCAGTGTTCTGCACGCTCAATGCTGCCACAAGCTTTGGCCTGATCCCCCTTTCCCTCCTAGCTTCAGCTCTGGGGTGTGCCCCATATCAGACCGATGATACACTTCAGAGGCCACGCACTGTCCCTGCTCCTGGGTCTGCCCACCCCCTAGTGACTGAATGCTTGTGGCAGGAGTCTGATTAGGCCAATTGCCATGGTTTCCCCTGGGTGGCAGCTGGGAGTAGGTGCTTGGTGAATGTATATAGGTGGAAGAACCATGCGGACCCTGGGGGACAGCCGTCTCGTGTGTGATTACAGAAAGAAGTGGAAGAGACCCTCACCACTAACGTGTGGATTGAGCACGTAAGAATACCCCGCTCAGTGCTGGGGTGTGGGGGTGAGGGTGCAAGGCCCAGGCTTCCCTGTGCTCCCTTTTGCTTGGGGATCTCCAGAAGTGGATCCTCCTGTCCTCCAGGAGGAGCTGACTTCTATCCAGAAGCCCAGCTGCCCTTCCCACCACCTTGAACAGTCACTAGCTAGCTCAGATAGAGACTTCTGGTAGACCGGGATCCTTCATCTATGGGGAAATTGTCACAATATCCTGATTTTATTAGAAGACACTCTTCTGCCACCTGTCAGAATTTCATAATACAGATATACATCTTCTATGCCCACAATGGAAATATGCTCCCTTGATTGTGCAGTGTACGTTCTACACAGCTGTACATGACAGATCTCAGTCCTAACTCTGTATCACCTCCCCCAAACTCTTATCACAGCTCCCAGACCCTGCCCAGTCTTCCCTCAGGGAAGTGAGGAGAGTTGGGGGGGGGAAAGGGGAGCCTGGGCAACAGCAGAACCTACCACTGACACCTCTTTGGGGCTTCCAGGGCTGGACAGACAGCCGGCTGCAGTGGGATGCTGAAGAATTTGGGAATATCAGTGTCCTGCGCCTGCCCCCTGACATGCTGTGGCTCCCAGAGATTGTGCTGGAGAACAAGTTGAGCCGCAGCCCTCCCCGGCATCCCCTCCCCCGCTCTGCCCCCCCAAACCCTGCCAGTTCCAAGCTGGCTGGCATTGATGGTGACCCCTTGTCCTTGTCCCTCAGCAACGACGGCTCCTTCCAGATTTCCTACTCCTGCAACGTGCTCATCTACCCCTCGGGCTATGTGTACTGGCTGCCGCCCGCCATCTTCCGCTCTTCCTGCCCCATCTCCGTCACCTACTTCCCCTTTGACTGGCAGAACTGCTCCCTCAAGTTCAGGTGCACCCACTTCTCCAGCCACCCTTCACCCTGGCCAGGGACTGAGACAGGTCCATGAAGCACTCTCGGGCAGAGGCCCCCGCTCTGTACTGATGAGAGCTCCCTCACACCCCTGACGGCCCCTTTGACCATGAACCTCCTCTACTACTAGCCTTCCCCCACCCCCTGCCATCAGTGGCCGCGCCCAATGGCTGAGGACCCCCCTCTACTCACTGCCCTCCCCAGTTCCCTCAAGTACACAGCCAAGGAGATCACCCTGAGTCTGAAGCAAGAGGAAGAAGAGGGCCGCTTCTACCCTGTGGAGTGGATCATCATTGACCCCGAGGGCTTCACAGGTGCTAGGAGTAGCGGCTGTGGGTGGGCGGGGTGGGCGGGGTGGGCGGGCCCCTCAGACACACACCCACAGATACGGTCACCCTGACACTGCCTGCCCCCCCCCAGAGATGCACCTGCACACACACACACACACACACACACACACACACACACCTGGAACATGGACCTACAGGCACACAGACTGAGAGAGAGACACCGATGGACAGACACACACTGACCCACAGAGAAACATACACTTATGTATGTTACTGACTTACTGACACAAATCTAGCACACTGAAAGGAAAAGAAGTCCAACTGGAGGGACTGTGTCCCACAAGCAGAGACCGACAGGGCCACACTCCTTCTGCTGCCCAGGCCTGAAGACCCTCCTGGATCTGGACAGGGTCCCTGGGGATGGATGTGGCTGACAGATAAGAGGGGTTGTTAGTCTTCTGTTCCCAGTCAGCCCAGGGATATGGTTGCGGCTTTAGCGGGTACTCTATGGTTGTGTGTGCCGCCCCCTACCAAGATCCCCCACCCCCATCTATGAGCGGGCTCAGATCTTCTAGGGGTCCCCCACTCCATGCCGCTGTCCATCACAGGAGACCAATGTCACACTAGTCCCAAGGCTACTCCATCCCCGAGGAGTGGAAGGGGAGGGATTGGTCTTATTCTTGCTGCATCATTATCTCTAAGACTTATTCGAACCATATTATGGCCTTAGCTTCTATATCTTCCAAGAAGAGGGGGAAACACTCCCAGAGGAGAATTTCTCCCTTGCAGATTGAAACCTCCATCCCAACCCCCCAGGGAGGGAAACCTGCAAACAGAACCCCAGCCGTCCTCCGCATGCCCCCTCTCCCCAGCCCCCAGTCCTGCCCTGAGCCCACCCCGTGCCCCCTTGCCCAACTTGACACCAAGGTGTCCTTCTGCCGCCCTCAGAGAATGGGGAGTGGGAGATAGTGCACCGGCCAGCTAGGATCAACATGGACCTCAGTGTCCCACTGGACAGTCCCGGCCGCCAGGACGTCTCCTTCTACCTCATCATCCGCCGCAAGCCCCTCTTCTACGTCATCAACATCCTGGTGCCCTGCGTGCTCATCTCCTTCATGATCAACCTAGTCTTCTACCTGCCGGCAGACAGTGAGCCTCAGAGCCCATCCCAGCCCCCAGCCGCCTGGGGCGCCTTTCCCACTCCCTGAGCCTCGGCCTCCCAACCCTCCCCTCCCTTCCTCCTGGGAGACACAAGGAGGTCACCACTTCCGGGGCTTCCTGCCCAGGGTCCAAGCAGGAGGGGCATGTGGCTAGCCAAAGGGAGGGTTTTGTGACACTGTCCAACATCCCCAAATGGACAGGGCCCCTGGGGAGTCCGTCTCTCTTGGACCTTGCTTCTGCTTCTCACAGTGGGACTTCCCAAGGAAGTTCCCTAGAGAGAACCACAAGACTGTCCCTCTGTCAGAGCAGATATCAGGTCTGTCCTGGTCACCATGTATGACCACAGGCCTGGCACACAGAAGACCATCTGCTTGGAACCAGTGGGTGGCTGAAGGGATCTCTGGGAAGCCAGGCGTAGGGGCATGCAGCTGATGTTCTTTTGGTTCTAGAAGGGCATGTGTAATCTGTGCTCACTTGGTTTCGCAATAGTTTCAGAGTATTTACTAGAAGTAAGGCACAGTGAGTCCCAGGGACAAGTGTGATCCAGCCTCTGATCCAGCCTCAGGACAAGTGTTGACTGGGTGCCAGATCCAGCCTCTGTTGCGGGCCGAGACTGTACTCTGCAGGTCTGAGAGCATGGCCTCCAGGGTAGGATAATGGGGGAAGCTTTCCTGGAAGAGGTGGTGCTTGAGCTGGAGATGGGATGGGACGCAGCTTCCAGGTAGAGAAGGGGCCCTGGGGCAGGGCTGTGGGCCTGTGACTGCAGTGGCCACCTCAGAGTGCTCAGGGGCTCCAATGGGAGGAGCTGGGCAATGCTGGGTCGGGGGTCTCTGAGTGGAGGACTAGGAGTTGGGGAAATATGGGGGCTCTGAGGATGTCCTGGAACTTTCTGTACAGGGGGACACACCAGACCTGTGATTTTTGGAGGGCCGAGTGGCAGCAAGCTGGCTAACAGTGAGACCCGGTGATCACTGAGCCCCAGGCAGCATGATGAGCGTTTAACACTCACTCTCTCACTTGGTCCTCACAACATTCCGCAGTTGTGAAAACCGAGGCACAGAGAGGTTAGGCTACTTGTCTAAGGTCACCCAGCAAGTAAGTGCCAGAGCCGGGATTTGAACCCATGTGCTCTAGCTCAGTACCCCCACAATGTTAATCAGGGTATGGTGGCTTTGCGACCAGTGGTGCAGGGGCCATGGTGAGACCCACTGGGCCCAAGACCAGAGAGAACAGCTGCTAAGTCCCAGGCTCCCCCAGGTGGCGAGAAGACATCGATGGCCATCTCAGTGCTCCTGGCTCAGTCTGTCTTCCTGCTGCTCATCTCCAAGAGGCTGCCAGCCACATCCATCGCCATCCCCCTCATTGGCAAGTGAGTGATGTCTGTGCCAAGCCACACCCCCCCAGCCAGCCCCGCCCACCACGCCCTGCCACGCCCTGCCCCACCAGGGCTCCACAGTGAGTGTGTCCCTACAGATTCCTGCTCTTCGGCATGGTGCTGGTGACCATGGTCGTCGTGATCTGCGTCATCGTGCTCAACATCCACTTCCGCACCCCCAGCACGCACGTGCTGTCTGAGGGGGTCAAGAAGGTGAGGGCTCTCAGCCAAAAGCTGGAGACGGTCCAGCAGTCCCTTCACAGGAGAGCAGGGAAAGACCCCCGGCGTGACTGCACGGGTACGCCGGCCCTGCGTGACCCAAGCGCGACGCGCCGCTACCCACACCGCATGGTCGACTCTCCTGGCTGGCTGCTACTCAGAAGGATCCCGACCCAGAGGAGCACAAGCTGCACAGTCTCCTCTCTATGAAGTTCAAGGACAAGCAAAACCAGCCTTTAGCGATAGAAATTGGGAGGGGGTTTCCCAAGGGGGTGGGGGGAAGTGACAGGCGGAAGCACCAGGGATTGGGAACCCGTTGGAGATCTCCCCTCTGGGGGGTGTTTACATAGTTGACAGCATCTATAAAAATTCACCTAGCTCTACACTTCAGGGCTGCCCATTCTGCTGTATGTTCCCTCTACCCTTGATGGAAAAGAAGGCGAGGAATGCGGGGATGGCATGCCCAGGAAGGGGTGTCCTTGCCTCTCAGCCGCTGCTCCCTGTTCTGGGAAGGTTGAGGGCTTGTTTGGTCTTCAGTGTCTGGAGAAGAGCGCGGAGCATGGGAGGCCTTGTTCTTTTTTGTTTTGTGCATATAATTCATTTTGAACAAATGAGCTCTGCTTTGTGCTGTGGGCAATGAGGGGCGGTTGGAAGCAAGCTAAGGGTCCGTCACTAGAGGATAGGAGGACTCCGGGACAGCATGCGACTCAGCAGTACTTTGTGGCAGTCAGGAATGGACTCACAGACATTTCAATGTGCCAAGGTGGCGCATGTCAGTAAAATAGCCTTCCTGTGTCCCCCATCCCCCCACCCCCGACCTGCTGCAGCTCTTCCTGGAGACCCTGCCGGAACTCCTACACATGTCCCGCCCTGCAGACGATGGACCTGGCCCGGGGGCTCTGGTCCGGAGGAGCAGCTCCCTGGGCTACATTTCCAAGGCTGAGGAGTACTTCCTGCTCAAGTCCCGAAGTGACCTCATGTTTGAGAAGCAGTCCGAGCGCCACGGGCTGGCCCGGCGCCTCACCACCGCACGTGGGTCCCTGCCGGGGGTGGGGGGGGCTTGGGGGTGCGGCCCATCCACAGAAGGTGGGCTGGAGGCAGGCCTCATGCCCCCCTCTGGCCTGGTCTCCACAGGCCTGCTCCCTGCAGGCTCTGAGCAGGCCCAGCAGGAGCTCTTGAGTGAGCTGAAGCCGGCCGTGGATGGGGCCAACTTCATTGTCAGCCACATGAGGGACCAGAACAATTACAATGAGGTGAGTAGCCACAGAGGGCCGATGCCTAGAGTGTATCCTGTCTTCAGGGGGCCTCACTTCTCCTCAGAGACATGTACCCACTGAGAGGAAGGAGTTCACGGTGGGTGCAGACCCTGGGCCCCGCTGGGAGGCCGAGCCCCCATCTAGAACTCTCCGGCAGCTCACTGCACACAGCATGCACCCAGGCATAGCCACAGGCACGTAGCTCCCTTAGGGTTCCTTCTTTTTCTTCTTCTTCTTTTTTTTTTTTTTAGTATTTTATTTGTTTATTTGACAGAGATCACAAGTAGGCAGAGAGGCAGGCAGAGAGAGGGGGGGGGAGGCAGGCACCCTGCTGAGCAGAGAGCCTGATGCGGGGCTCGATCCCAGGACCCTGGGATCATGACCTGAGCCAAAGGCAGAGGCTTAACCCACTGAGCCACCCAGGCACCCCTAGGGTTCCTTCTTTGTTGCCAGACCCGTCATTTTCTGTCCCTGCTCAATTCCAAGTCTGATGTTCTAGACATAAGCGGCCGTTTAAAAGGCAGCCTTAGGTGGTCGTTCCATATTATTTGATTTTTAAACTTCTCTCTTGAGAAAGGGGCCCTGTTTTCCAGTTTGCATAGGGGCCAGCATGGCGTTGAGAAGCTGGGAGGGTGAAGAGGGAGGAGAGGGGACGATGCAACCTTCCTCAGCTCCTTGAGAGAGACTGCTGGCACCCCAGCTCTTCTTCAGCTCCTGGAGCTCTGCAGTGGGGTGAGGAGGAGGGCTGTGGCCCCATTCTTGGTCTCCTGGACAGAGGGAACATACCAGCTTGTCACATCCACTGCTAGCCAGAGCAAACCCCACAGATACGCTGAGGCCATGCCTCTGTCACTGGGCCTGGGCTTGGGGTATAGGCGCATGGTTTGAGAGCCTTCCTCACCACCCTGTCTCTGCCCCCCTGCCCCCAGGAGAAGGACTGCTGGAACCGAGTGGCCCGCACAGTGGACCGACTCTGCCTGTTTGTGGTGACGCCCATCATGGTGGTGGGCACGGCCTGGATCTTCCTGCAAGGAGCCTACAACCAGCCTCCACCTCAGCCTTTCCCCGGGGACCCCTTCTCCTACCATGAGCAGGACAAGCGCTTCATCTAGAACAGGCCTGCCCTGCCCAGCTGGCCCAGCTCCCAGGCAGCGTCCAGAGGTGGGGGGCACAAGTGGAGGGAGGGCACTAGTCGTATGGACAGGGATGTCTGACAGAGGACAAGCCCTTCCTGGGGAGGCCAACTTCTGACCCTGGGGCTTGAGTCCAGCTGGTGCTGCAAGGCTGGGGCAGGAAGAGCCAGGCTTTCCTGAGATTAGGGAAGGAAGTGGGAAGCCCCACTCTTCAACCATGGGTCCTCTGCAGCTAAACACCACAGAGCCGCTAAGGAGGACTGAGAGTGGATACCGTCTGGGGGTCAGAGCATGACAATTTGTGGGGGGAAGAGGGGCTGGCTCAGGCTGGGACCCTTCTGTGAGGAATGAGAAAGGCAGAGGCCTCTTCTTCCTCCCCTTCCCTAGGTGGGGGTAGAGCAGGTAGGATCCTGTGCTCTCACTTCCCTGTTCCTCCAGCCACCCTCCTCTCCACAACCCCTCAGCCTTGGGCTTCTGAGGCCCCAATGGGGGTTTTATGTGGGGACACCTCCCTCTCCAGACCTCTTAAGGAAAGAGGCTTTCAGCAGGGGTGGGAACCCCAGGATTGCAAAATGGCCTTCCCCAGACCTTTCTTTCTGCCTTGGTGACTTTGTCTGGGTCCCCCAGGGAAGCCAAGGACTAGGGTGGAAGGGCCAAGCTCAACACTCAAAAAGACCAAAGGTCAGCTTGTCAACCTCAGGTCACATGCACGATCCTAGGGCCCTAGAGCTCAGCCCTCCCCCAAGAAGTGTCTCCTCTTGGGCAACTTCTCTCCCCAAAGTAGGGTTTTCATACAATATTTGGGACATATTTTTACTAAAAAATTATTGTTTATCTGAAATTCAAACTTAACTGGGTATCTTGTTTTGTTTTGTTTTGAGGGGTGGCAGAGAAAGAAAAGAAAAAAAGAAAGCACAGAGCCCAACAGGGGCTCAGTCTCACCACCCGGAGATCATGACCTGAGCCGAAATCAAGAGTCAGAGGCTCAACAGACTGAGCCATCCAGGTGCCCAGAATCCTGTATTTTTATTTGCTAAATTTGACAACTCTATCCCAAAGGGAGCCCCCAGCAATCTTGTCCAAGGGCCAAAGGCCGAGGCTGCAGATGCTGGGAGACATGATAGCCTACCTCCAAGATGGCCCCAGCGATCCCCACCTCCTGGTATTCATACCCTGTGTAGCTCACTCCCACAATGCACCGGGATTGGTCTGTGTGACTGACAGAAGGAGGCGGAAGTGACGGTGTGTCGCTTCTGAGATTAGGCTCTATAAGACACTGCAGCACTCCCTGCCTCCCACGTCTTCACTCTTCACTTTCAGCTAGATCTCTCACTCTGGGGAAGCCAGCTGGCATGGGAGCAGTCCTGTGGAGAGGCCCACTTGGCAAGGACCTGAGCCCCTCTGCCTGCAGCCCCATGAGTGACCTTGGAAGTGGATCCTCCAGCCCCAATGGGGCCTTCAGAGGAGATCACCATCCAGGTTAACATCTTGGGTGCAGTCCCATGAGTTCTGGAGCCAGAGCCACCCAGCTAAGCTGCTCCTGGATTCCTGACCCCCAGAAACTGTGTGGAATAGCATATGATTTTTAAGAGACAAAGTTTGGGGGTGCTTTGTTACACCAGAGGATGATCTGGGGTGAGCCACGCTCATCTCTTAGGTTCGGTTTTCTCATCAACAAAATGTGTAAGTTCCATTTGTGAGGTGTTGTGAAAATTGAATTTGCTAGTAGTCATAAAGGTCCTTCTTTACACATGTCCTGCAAATTTTCTTAATTAATTTAAATTCAACTAATTAATATACAATGTATTATTTGTTTCAGGGGTACAGGTCTGTGATTCATCAGTCTTATCTAACACCCAGTGCTCATTACCACAAATACCCTCCCCAGTGTCTATCACCCGGTTACCCCATCCCTTCACCCCCTTCCCCTCCAACAACCCTCAGTTTGTCTCCTGTGATTAAGAGTCTCTTATGGTTCCCGTCCTGCAAATTTAAGGGGTGGTTATTTAACTCATTCCTCAGTTGTGGGCCTGAGTCACAGAAGATGGGCCTGTGGACTCCTATGTCCAAGGCTGGCCGGGGGTCTGAGGGTATATGGGAGCAAACACAGGGGACCCAATTATTCTCCTCCTTGACGTATACACTAAAGGTTGTCACAGCTCAACCCATTTCCCTCAGAGGGAATTGGAGACCTCATTACCTCAGGTATACAAAAGGTGAGAATTTTAGTCTTTCAGTGGAAATGAACAAAAGACAAACCTCTTTTTTTTTTTTTTTACATGACTATAAAAACTTCTATTCATTTATACTAGGATTTGGGCCCACTGCCACCAGGGAACGCAGTGCCCAGAAAAAGACAAACCTCTTAATGGCAAAACTGACCCTAGTTACTTCTGACTTCCAATATAAACTGTGCACAGATTCGAAGTACAAATCTTTATTGTTTTTCCCCACTGAATAGGGAAAGTAGCTTGGACTTACACCATCAGATGAGCAGGAAGTCTGGGACCTTCCTGGGGTCTTCCTCTACGAGAGAGTCCCCATCTCAAGCACCAGGAGAGATCCTGGATCAGATCCCTCAGGCACTGTCCTTGCTTCTCTCTGCCACATGATGGCACTGTCGGCAACCTCCCGGTGAATCCTCTGCATCTTCCTGGCTCAGATGGCCATGAACTTTCCCCCAAAAAGACAAGCCCAAAATGCCACACCTGACCAAGAGTGCCCCATGCACAGGTTCCCAGGGTCACAGCAGGACCCCCAACTGCACACATGCCTCCAGCACCGCAGCCCCAGCGCGCTGTCAGCACTGGTCCCCTCTCTGGGTGACGGGGAAACTCCCCAGGGAGTCACCTCCACAAGGAGCCAGCTTCCTGTGAAACCACAGGGTGTCCCTACACACTCTTTCCAGGCCATCAGCGCTACCCACTCTCCTTCAAACAGTGATGAATCTGAGGCATGCACTGGGCTGCTAGGAACAGAAACCCAAAGAACGTGGTTCAAACCAATAAGGCTCCGTCTTTATTCTGTGATGAGATCACAAGGCAGCGGCTGCCACCTTGGCTCAGCAGTCCCACAAAGCTATTAGAGACCCAGGCTCTGGGCTCTCTGACCAGCAGCCCGGCCCTCATGCTTGTTGCCCCAGGGTGCAAGCAGACTGCCACTGATCCTCACTTCACATCTGTGTTTAACACAGTAAAGGAGCCAGTCATTTCTGAACCCTTTCATCAGGAAGCAAAGGCTCTCCCCTGAAGCCCTTCAGCTGACTTCTGTAGACATCCCACAGGTCAAGATGTTATCACGCAGCCATCCTTATCTGCAAGGGGGCCTGGGAAATGAACGTTCCAGCCTCCAGAAGAGAAGGTGACAAAGAGGGAGTAACTGTTAGACACAAATGAAGCCTGCAGAAGATTTTCTCTTAATGCTTCCACACACACCCCTTTAGCCCCTCCTGGCAGCGCCAGCCCTCCTCGAGTGACCCGCCCTCCTGAGAACACCAAGGAGAATTGGCCTCTCTCCCACAGCAGGAAAGAAGGGGAAAAAACAGGAATTGAAGTCTCTTCATACATGGGGAAGTGGCATAATTCATACCAGAGAGAAGTCATGCTCCACAACCTTCCTTTTCCCTCCCAGACACTTGTAGAGAAGGGGAAAGGGGAGGTCAGAATTGTTGGGGTGGGCCAGACCACCATGGCTGGGGTCAGTGTGTGGTTGGGGGAGAATAGGTGGTCCATTATTTAGCAGGAGCCATTAATGGGCATGCCAACATGTGGTCTTGGAGGGACTAGAGAGGGAGAGAGGTACTGCTCTGGGGAGCACCAAAGGGCAAACTGGGGAGAAGGGGTACTGGCTTTGTAAACTTCAGGGAAAGGGGGCTACATACCTAGATTCCCGGCGGCCAGAGTGATGCTTGGGAGTGGGGCTTGGAGCAGGACTGAGCACAAGGACAGAAGTGAATGACCGGGGAAGGCAGGTGTCACCACTGCTGTCCCCTCCGACCCCAAAGTCCTGGTGAGGACAGACAGGAGGGACTTGGGCTGTGGAGGCCTGGGGTCTGAGCCAACCTCACACAGATCTCCAAGGCGGAGTTCCAGCTCACTGACACACGCTGAAATGCTGCAGACATCATTTATTTGGAGGGAGGGGGACACGTAGCCCTTAGATGCCTCTACCACACTGTCCCCCAGGATGCCCATGGGTGGCTAGCACTTATAGAAACCTGCTTTTTTTTTTTTTTTTTTTTTTGCCTTGCAAACTTACTGGGACATCCTGACCTGTCTGCTGAATAAATGGTCAAAAGACAGGTAGCCTGAGCCCATGGCCACAACTGGCAGAAGGACACTCAGCTCTTAGACCAGCCTCAGCCCCACCCTTCCCCTGACCTCAAACTACAAAGTGGATGGAGCGTGTTTTCTGGCCCTTTTGGGTTCCCCTCATCTGACTTTCTGGGGGCCACAACCTTGACCTTATTTACCTGTCCTACTGAGCAGTGACTTCCTGTGAGCCGCTCAGGCTTACCCCTGTTTTCCTCAAAATCCCCTGCTGCCCGCTTGGCCTGGGGTCTGTCACATGCTGGGGACTCCCTAAGTTTGTGGATAATTTTTTTTAATATTTTATTTATTTATTTTTGCAAAAGAGAGAGAGACAGAGAGAGCACGTGTGCATCGGGGAAAGGGGCAGAGGGAGAAGCAGGCTCCCCGCTGAGCAGAGAGCCCGATGTGGGGCTCGATTCCAGGACCCTGAGATCGTGGTATGAGCCGAAGGCTGACGCTTAACCCACTGAGCCACCCAGGCGCCCAAGTTTGTAGATAATTTAAGAACTACTGAGGCCACACTGAGGAGCCCCTATTCATCGGTTGTTCTAGTCCCAAGAGCCCCCAAATTTCAGGTCTTCTTCAGCCCTCCTTCTTTCAAGGCTTACCGGTCCTATGTGCCGTATCTCAGAGCCTGGGAGGATGCCCGAACTGGCACCCTAATTTGCATTAAGGTATCAAAGCCTGTGGAATGTGGTGGATCTCTCTCCTAGACTTTGCCTGCAGTGTCTGGGCCCAGT